CCTTCAGTCAGGGGCTGGGGTGAGAGGTCAGCTTTGGGAGCTGGTTCTTAGCCAGGCTGGGCTGGGCTGGTATCTTCCTGACCTGAGGCTGGTCATTTTTCCAGTGGGCGGGGCAGGTGCTCAGAACTCATTAACACTTGAGCGCAGGAAAGGAGGGCACTGCCATTGGAGAGTTCTTTCCAGGATCCCTGGTTCTTACCCACTCCCGGTGTCTTCTCTCTGCAGACGCCCTGCTGGAGGACTTGGAGTCCACCACCTCCCACATCTCCAAACGGCCCGTGTTCTTGTCTGAGGAGACCCCCTACTCCTACCCAACTGGAAACCACACATACCAGGAGATTGCTGTGCCACCCCCTGTCCCCCCACCCCCGTCCAGCGAGGCCCTCAATGGCACCATTCTTGACTCCTTAGACCAGTGGCAGCCCAGCGCCTCCCGATTCATCCACCAGCAGGTAGGTCGAGACAGGGGCTGTAGCCCCCAGAGGCTTTGGAGCTAAAGGAGCTTATCCGGCAGCAGCTCGGGGATTCAGGGGAGGAGTGGGCTCAGAGGAAGGGGAGAGGGGCCAGGAAACACCCAGCTGTCTCCACCAGAAGCCACGTGAAGGGGGGGCAGTGACCAAGTGTTAATCACCTGTCTCCAGCCAGAGTGTGGAAATTCCCTGGTGAGCAGCAGCCTCCTGGGGGTGACTCGGGCTGTTCCTTTTCCTCCCCCCGGGAAGGCTCTGAGCACTTATCTTCCTGTAGCCTCAGTCCCCGACGCCTGCGTACGGCCCCGGTGCCAAAACACCCAGTGCCTCCATCCCCCAGGACGGCGGCGGCCCTCCATGTCCCCGAGCCGGTGAAGAAGAGCACGTCTACAGGTACTGCCCCAGCCCCTGCCTGCGCACCTTTCCCTCCGGCTTGGAAATCCCAGGGACCAGTGGGGCTGGAGGCAGCTGAGGCCAGGGATCAGACATGGCCACGGCCAGTGGCTGTTCTGCCTCAGGGGTCAATGGGCTAAACTGCAGAAGGCCCTGAGGCTCCTGGCCAGCTCATAATGCCTCTTGATTGGCCCAATGGCATTATCACTGCCATCTGCTGCCATCTCCCTGTAGCAGCTGTCACGTTACCCCATGTAGCTGAGGAACTGAAGCAAGACTTCCTTCCTCCCATCTTCTTACCACATCCCTTCTCCACTCTCTGTCCTCTTGCTGGGGGAGACCTCTATCCCCTTCACCTTTTTCTGAAGAATTCGGGAGTCACTAAAGCTGCGGAACGTCTCTCACTGTGGTCTTCCCTTTGTCTCTCAAAGTTTCCCCAACAAGCAAAAGTCAACTGAGCCTTCACCCACCGTGATGAGCTCCTCCCTGGGCAGCAACCTTTCTGAACTTGACCGCCTGCTGCTGGAGCTGAACGCTGTGCAGCATAACCCCCCAGGCTTCTCTACAGGTAGGCCTGGGTCCCTGGGGGCAGGGGCCTGCCCGGTCCCCAGGCCCGCCCTCTGGTTTCTGGATCCCCAGAGAGCTCAGGGTTGAGCAGCCTTTCTCTCTCCCTCTCCCTAGATGAGGCCAACTCAAGCCCCCTGCTGCCTGGGGCTCTGAGCTCCCACTATGGCATCCCAGAGAATAACAGCCTACTGGGCGGCAAACCTGGGCCCCTGATGAAAGAGAAGCCCAAGCGGAACGGGGGCCGGGGCCTGGAGGACGTGCGGCCCAGCGTGGAGAGTCTCCTGGATGAACTGGAGAGCTCCGTGCCCAGCCCTGTGTGAGTATTCACAGGGCTCGCCCAGGCAGGGAGGTCTCATCCAGCCAGTGCCCATGCTCAGTGTCTGCCCACTTAGCCCCCTTGTCACCCATTCCCTCCACAAGTCCCTGTTGTCTACCAGGCCCTGCACTAGGCACTGGGGGATAGTGGGGAGGCACATGGGTTCCATTCCTGCCTTCAGCAAGCCTGCCATCCATTAGAAAAGACAGACATTGTGCATGCTGAGGGCGCCTGCAGCTTAATAGCTGTCAACACAGGCTTTGGAGCCACACAATAGGGTTCAAACCTTGGGGCCGCCCTTATCAAGTGTCATCTCTCAAGCCTTAGTTTTCCAATCTGTAAAATGGGATTAAGGCCACCCGCCTCAACAGGGGTGAGAACCAACCATACATGTAAAGCGCATTGAATGGTTCCTGGCTCATAGCACATGATGTACACGGTAAGTGCTTTCTAAATGTTAGCTCATCTCAGTGTGACCCTGTCTTTGGAACAATCGCACATGCACTTGCAGAG